GTTGCTTTATATGTTCCTCCCCCACTGTATAACCCGTTTTCACTGTATTTGATGTTGGTATAATTTGGGAAGGAGAAGGGAAAAAACAAAATGTTTAAATAGGGATACAGGTTGACCCATTGTAACAATGAGATGTACAAGACACTATGTTGAAAAACGAACTTAACAATTTAGGTGTGTGTGTGGGGGGGTGTAGTTGTGGAGGTGGGAGGGAAGGGTTGGTAGGGGAAAAACAACAGGAGGAGGCAACAATGCTTGATAAGAAATGTACTCATTGCCTTGCTCATGTAACTTTCTATATTTTCATAATAAAAAACTTATTAAAAAAAAAAAAAGAGAGAGTTTCATGGACTTTGCTGCCCGGGCTGGCTTTGAACGGCGATCCTCAGCTAGGATTATAAGCTTGAGCCACCAGCGCCCAGCACTACAGACTTCTTTTTATTTTTTTAGTTGGTCGTGGGGCCTGAACTCTAGGCCTGGGCGCTGTCCCTCAGCTCTTCAGCTCAAGGCTAGCGCTCTACCACTAGAACCATAGCACCACTTCCAGCTTTTTCTGCTTATGTGGTGTTGAGGAATCTAACCCAGGGATGCAATGCAAGCTTCTGAGCCACCTTCTCAGCCCCACTACAAAAGTTCCTTAGGGTTTATTTTATCCAGGTTTACAGTTAATCTGTTGATTTCCAGTCTATCGTCAATATTCCTCTTTTTTTTTTTTCCTGACAAAACACATACATTTAAAAGTTTTTTTTTCTTGCTGCATGCCATTGGCTTATGCCTCTTAGCTACTCAGGAGGCTGAGATCTGAGGAGCAAGGTTCAAAACCAGCCAGTTTCACCCTATGAGACTTTTATCTCCAATTAATCATTCAAAAACTGGAAGTGGTGCTGTGGCTCCAGTGGTAGAGTTCTAACTTGGTAGAGTTCTAACTTTGAGCACAAAGAGGCTCAGGAACAGCTCCCAGTCCCTGAGGTCAAGCCCCAGTGGAACTGACAATAAAAAATTTTTTTTCTTCCCTCTTTGAAAAAACTTGCAAAGGAATCAAGAGAAGTCAGTATATCTTGGGGGAGGTGTATATGGTGTATGGGAGGCAGGGCTTAAGGAATGATTGTTGTCCATATACTTCTTCAATATTGACAGAATTTAAACCATAAGAATATATTACTGATATATAATGTTGAAGTGTTTTGAGTAAACATGTTAATTGTAAAGGGAATGGAAAATAAATGAAAGTGCAAAGAAGAAAAAGTATCATCTCAGCAATCACAGTCACCTAAAGACTGTCTGTTACTATTTGTTATAGATTGTCTTATTTGGAAAGAAACACATATACACATATTTGTACTGAACACACAATTTATTATAATACTTTATAAAATAATCTAATGATATATTGAAATAGTCTTCCAGATTCTTACATATTTACTTTTATTGTTTTTAATTTCTGTCTGCTTTATCATACTTAAATACTTTATTTTAACCAGTTCACCTTGATTAGATATATAGATTGTCTTAACTTTTTCTCTCTCTCTCTCTTTTTTTTGGTCAGTCATGGGCTTGAACTCTGGGCCTGGGTCCTGTCCCTCTTCAGCTCAAGGCAAATGCTCTACCACTTGAGCTACAGCGCCACTTCCGGTTTTCTAGTGGTTTATTGGAGATAGGAGTCTCACGGTCTTTCCTGCCTGAGCTGGCTTTGAACCGAGATCCTCAGATCTCAGCCTCCTGAGTAGCAAGGATTACAGGCATGAGCCACCAGCTCCCGGCTTTGTCTTAACTTTCTCTAAGTAATTCCTTGTAGGTAAATCTTCATACATCTATTCTGATTTCTGGATGTAGAGTTTCTGGGCCAAAGACACATTACTATTTTTTGTGGCATGATTCTTATAAAGATCCCTTTGTGGAAGGGAAGGTATGTGTGCATTCCTATGTATTGTAGGAGATGTTAATACTTGTTGTGGTATGAAAATCATCCTAATAAGGGTTTTATACCAGTGCCCAGGTGACCAGCCAAAATCTGTTTTTGTATTTGTTGTTGTTTCTTTCCATTGCAGTATAAAGGATAAAATTTGAAGATAAAACAACTCCCAGGTTCATGGTTCTGGGCAGAAAATATTCTGGACAAGAAAGTAGTTTTATTTCTAGTATGTGATTGGCTTGGCTCACTGGAATAGGTTGGAGGAAAATTGACATGAATTTTTTGATGGGTTTCTGAGCAGTGATAGATTGAGTATTTGTTCTCCTCGGTGGAATGTTTTTCTAATAGGTCAAACTGTGTTCTGCCTACTGGCAAGCCTAGAATGCTAATGAATGTAGTAGAGGGATGTTTAAACTGGAATACATGATGGATTGAAATATGCTTGAAAGTAGATTTTCAACTAATGTTTTTAAAATGAGAGCATGGTTAGTAGTCTATAGAGTTTAGTATCCAGAAAATAAACATTGCATAGGACTAGGGATGTGGCTTAGTTCATAGAGAGTTCTTTCTTGTCTAGCATAATCCTAGGTTCAAAATCCCCAACACCACCAAAAACAAAACCAGAGAAAACTATTGCAGTATTTAACTACCTTTTGAAATGTTTATTAATTAACTTATTTTAAGGTACAGGGCAGACACTATGCTGGCACACAGAGTTTTGTGAGTTTCACCTCTTGAAAGAGGATAGAGAAAAAGGCTTGGCAAATAATTGGCAAGTAAAGCAAACAGTTACAACTCTGTTAACAATGCAGCCTTATTTACTCTGCCTATCAGAATTTCTGAAATTGGATTCCTTGGCTCTGTGAACTAGTTAGCACAAGAGCCCTCTTTCCCTTTGGGGTGCTTGGAATTGAAAGCATGCTAAAGAAAACCCAATCATGTATATTTTAGTTGTGTTCATCCTGTAACACTGTTAGGATTTGGTAGAGTATAAGGATTCATATTGAGAAAAAATTTTTAGTGGAAGTATATGGAATTGTTTTTTAGGTGAAATGGTTTTTACTGTGAAATGATTACATAAACTAAAAGGCTATTAACTCTTCAAGCCAGAAATCTAGTCACAGTGTTACTTTTCTTTTATAAAGGAATAAAAACTTCTTTATTTTATAGGTAGGGCTTTGATTATGAGAAAAATTACTTAGGCTTTTACAAAGAATATTATTTCTGGGAGGAGGATTGGATGGAGGGGGAGGTGGGAGACGGGAGGGAGGGGGAGGATGGGAAGGGATGGGAAGGGGAAACAAAGGAGGAGGCTACAATGCTTGATAAGAAATGTACTCATTATCTTGCCCATGTAATTGTAACCTCTCTGTACAGTATTTTCACAATTAAAAAATACAATTAAAAAGAATATTATTTCTAAGTAGTATCTGTTTTTGTAAAATTGAGGTAACGTTCCAATCTAATTCTTTGTTAGGGTTCTTTAGGATTCATTCTTGTAGGAGAATGAATCAGGCTCATCTGTATATGAGGATACTTTTCTTCTAACTTTTTTTTTTCTTGTGGTGCTAGGGATCAAACCCAAGGGTCTCCAACATGCCTTGACAAGTACTTTGCTACTGAGCCACTTCCTTAGCCCTTTTTCTAATTTGAGCAGTTTTAGAAGTGTTTATTTGAGAACAGTGGGGGAAAAAAAACCCAAGGATAAAATATTTATGACTATGAGGGACAAGAAGATTTGGGGGGGTTGGGGAGCTGGGTGCCGCTGGCTCACGCCTGTAATCCTAGCTATTCAGGAGGCTGAGATCTGAGGATTGCAGTTCAAAGCCAGCCTGGGTAGGAAAGTCCTTGAGCCTCTTATCTCCATTAAGCCACTCAGAAAACCAGAAGTGGCACTGTGGCTCAAGCTGTAGAGCACTGGCCTTAAGCTGAAGAGCTGAGGGACAGGGCCCAAGCCCAGAGTTCAAGCCCCACGACCCACCAAAAAAAAAAAAGATTTGGGAGGCTTGGGGGGTACTTGAGGGGGTGTGTGAGTTGTTATATGAGGGTTTGAACATAGGCCTTGCACTTATTTTTTTATTTTATTATATTTTTTATTGTGAAAATACTGTACAGAGGGGTTACAATTACATGGGCAAGATAATAAGTACATTTCTTATCAAGCATTGTAGCCTCCTCCTTTGTTTCCCCTTCCCATCCCTGCCCCCCCCCCCCCCCCACCAAAGTTGTAAAGTTGGTTTTCAACATAACGACTTGTACATCTCAACATTGCAACTTGTACATCTCAACATTGCGGTGGGTCCACCTGTATCCCTATTTAAAAGATTTGTTTTTCCCCTTCCCCTCCACAAATTATACTGACATCAAATACAGTGAAATCAGGGGTTATACCGTGGGGGAGGGACATACAAAGCAACAAAGAAATAATCTTATAAATGTGTTAGAAACAATCGAATGAGGGCTGGGAAGATGGCTCAGTGGTAGAGTGCTTGCCTTGCATGCCTGAGGCCCTGGGTTCGATTCCTCAGCACCACATAAGCAAAAAGAAAAAAGCCGGAAGTGGCGCTGTGGCTCAAGGGGTAGAGTGCTAGCCTTGAGCTGAAGAGCTGAGGGACAGCGCCCAGGCCCAGAGTTCAAGCCCTACGACCGGGCCCAAAAAAAAAAAAGAAACAATCCCATGAAAGAAAAAAAATTTGAATACATATCTTAGGGTTCATTTCCCTAACATCAACTTATCTGGCCTTTTCTGCTTGACTCAGACATATACTAGATATTGCAAATAAGGGAAGGCCTTGCACTTATATAGGCAGGTACTCTATCACTTGGGCCACACCTCTAGCCAGAAGAAATTTTTTAAAATCCCATATCAAGCTTTGGTCTTTTTGTTGTCTATAAGTTTGCCCTAAACACAGAGACATCTCACTTTTGTTCTTGCCCTCATTCACTCACTTTGGCTTTTCCTTTGTGAAATATTTCACCGTGATTGCCCAAAAGAAAGAAAGCACTGAAGAATAAGTTTTAGGAACTAAAGTTTTTAAAAATTCTGTCATTTGCTTAACTACTGAGTTTTTTTGTCCCTTGTTTACAGCATTGGTTGGATGGTACAAAAAGCATCAAAAAACAAGTCAAAAGTAAGTGTTGAAGTATTTGTTGTGGGGAAAAAGAAAATTAATGTATTAGAAACATATAAGATAACCTTCAAAGTAAGAATAGTAACAAGCATGTTTTAGGTGAGTATTTTATCATCTCTAATTCTTTCCTTGTTTGCTTGTTTTTGAGGTTTAGGCTTAATGTGTAGTCCAGGCTGGCCTCAGATATGAATCTTGATTCAAGAGCCTTATAATAGAAAAATGTACAAGATAAAAGTTTTTTTAGCTTGCAAATAAAATTACTTTCCACAAAATACATAACTTTTATTTAGCAATTACTCGTGTTGAAAGTTTTTGTTAAGCATCTACCTTGCTCTGGAAAATGTTTTCAGATTTTAAATCTATAACTATTTTTAATTAAGAATAGTAAAATGAAACAATTCACATAAAAATGTCAGTAAAGGGTTGGAGGTATGGCTCAAGTGGTAAATTGCCTGCCTAGCAGTAGTCAAGGAAAACACCTGTGTCCAATCCATAGTCTAACTTGTTCTCTGTAGTCAGGTCACATTTCAGGACAACCCAACTCCTATCTATAAAATTATGAGGCAGGGAGCACTGAGAGTGTGGAGGCTAGCAAACTCACTCAAGTGTGTTTGAAAGTGTGTGGGATGCTTTGCCTTGAGTGATTATTAATGTGGACATTCCTCAGAGCTCTGAAGAAATACAGCGCAGCAGGTTTTTAGAGCTGTTCGATTGCGTAGTTAAGACTTATTTGTTATGTCCGACCTTAAACTATTAGGATTAATTTAGAGCTATCCTGAAATAATAGATTGTGAATGTGTCCTATATTTTAGAACTTGACTGGTCTTTTTGTGTACAATTTTTTTAATGTACAATTTAAACTGATGATTTGCTCTGAAATAATAGCACAGTAACCTCCTATCTTCTGGCCCACTTAAGTAATTTTTAACAAATTTACCCCCCCTTTTTTAAATGACAGTTGGTTCACCTTATTGTCTGCATCTTCGAGTTAAGTTTTATTCCTCGGAACCAAATAATCTTCGTGAAGAATTAACTCGGTAAGACCATTCTCAAGAGTTGTATGTGAGTAATTTGGTAGTTTAGAAAATTGTCTTTAGAATTATTTCCCACTTATAGACAACTAATGCAATAGATTCCTTGTCCCTGGTAATATGCCTTCAGATAATAGGATTTTATTCTAGAATAGTATTTTTAAATTGTATGTTTTATGTTCTTTTTTTTGGTTTTCAAATTAAAATTGTTTCCTTAGAATTATCCTAAAGTGGCTTCAGAGTCTTGTGAGTTTTTTTGTTTGTTTGTTTGTTTTTGTTTTTTTGTCATGGGGCTTGAACTCTGGGCCTGGGAGCTGCCCCTCAGCTCTTCAGCTCAAGGTTAGCTAGCACTCTACCAATTGAGCTCCAGTGTCACTTCCAATTTTTTGAGTAATTTATTGGAGATAAGAGTCTTAGGACTTTGCTACCCAGGCTGGCTTTGAACCTCTGTCCTCAGATCTCAGAGTTCTTTTTGTATATATTGTTTTCAACTCATAGATTCTAAACAGGATTTAGTAAAATGTTAATAATGATATACTTATTTACATTCAAATCTCCCTGGGAGTTCATTCAGATTGGCTCCTTTTTTTTTTTTCTTCCTGTCCTGGGGCTTGAACTCTGGGCCTGGGCACTGACCCTGAGTAGCTCTTCAGCTCTATCACTTTGAGCCACAGCACCACTTCCAGTTTTCAGTTGGTTAATTGGAGATAAGAGTCTCATGGACTTTCCTGCTGGGGCTGGCTTCAAACCTCCTGAGTAGCTAGCTAGGATTACAGGTGTGAGCCACCAGCGCCTGCCTTAACTTTCTTTACTCCTTAAAGTAACATTGATTGATTAAAATTTTAGATCACAGTTTAGATAAGTAGCTTGTAATAAATTTTAGATTATATACATTTATTTTGCCCTGCCTCCTTGATATTCATTATTTTGTGCTGTATATGCGTAACTCCATGCACTAATAATCTTCACTAAGTGAAAAAGTTGAGTTACCTACCATACCATGGGGTTGGGGCTATTACCTAGAATTATACCCAAAATGTATCTCTTCACAGATGAGGTAGAAATGTTCTCAAAGTTAAACTAGGTCGCAGAGCTCATTCTCATAATATCTTTCAAACATTTTCTTTTTTTTTTTGGTCCGGTCGTGGGGCCTGAATTCTGGGCCTGGACGCTGTCCCTCAGCTCTTTAGCTCAAGGCTAGCACTCTACCACTTAAGCCACAGCGCCACTTCTGGCTTTTTTTTTCTTATGTGGTGCTGAGGAATCGAACCCAGGGCCTCGAGCATGCAAGGCAAGTGCTCTACCACTGAGCCACCTTCCCAGCCCTCACACATTTTCTTTTAAGTTTTGTTATATTCTACTCTGTGGCCTGTTGTTTTGTGGTCATGATTCTACCCCTCTGTTAGTCAGTACATTTTTTTTTCTATATTATTTTTCCTTTATTGTGGATAAAATAAAATATTTATACTTCATTGTGAGTAAAATTCTATAATCAAAGATACTCTCAATTTAGATAAGATTTTTTCACAGCAGATAGTTCCATTAAGTTAACTTGTGCATTTAATTTTCTTAGGTATTTATTTGTTCTTCAGTTAAAACAAGATATTCTCAGTGGAAAGTGAGTATCATAATTATTTAGCACATTGTCTTTGGTAGTTGGAAATGATTTTGAAATTAGTTTTTGTAATAAGGAAAAACAGATGGTCAATGTGACCTGTATATTTTCATTTATTGAAAAATGAATGACTTAATTTGTATTTTGATCCCAGATTAGAGTGTCCCTTCGAAACAGCAGTGCAGTTGGCAGCTTATAATCTTCAAGGTAAGCAAATTTTGTGCTGATTGTTAAGAATAAAACATAATACTTTTTTTGTGTTTGTTAAAGAATTTCAGAAGATTCATGATGTATCAGAAGAGAAACACAGTTTTCTGTAAATTTGTATCAGTATCCTTTTGCCTGGAAGATTGTCTTTTTCTTCCCTTTCATTTCTGTATCCCCTTTCTATCTCTAATGTTTTCAAATGAAAGTTACAGTCTACCTAATAGTTTAGTAAATTATTATCTTTAGTCTTCTAATTTTTTTCCTTTAAAAACAGTGAAACACTGTCTGTATAAATTATTTCGGCAGTCACATCACATAGTTTGCTTTCTTTATTCTTCTTTTTTTTTTTTTTGTCAGTCGTGGGGCTTGAACTCTGGGTTTGCGTGCTGTCCCTGTGCTCTTCAGCTCAAGGCAAGCGTTCTACCACTTGATCCACAGTACCACTTCTGGTTTTTCTGGTGGTTAGTTGGAGATAAGTCTCATGGGCTTTCCTGCCCAGGCTGGCTTTGAACTGCAATCTTCAGATCTCAACCTATGTGTAGCTAGGCGTGAGCCACCAGCACCCAGCTCTTTATTCTTATTCTTAAAAAACAAGTCAATGAAAAAATTTCCATACAATTTAAAAGTTCCCGATGTTCATTTTAAAATGCTTTCAAGTAAGTGAGATTAAACAATATACTTTGGTATGTTGATTAAATACTGTTAAACTTATAAATTTTCTTCTAAAAAATGGCATAAAGAAAAACTAATTTCATAAAATGAAAAAAATATTTTGCTGGGATTATCAGACTTTGCAGACAGTCCTTGAGATTTTATCTTCAATTAATCAGCAAAATTCTGGATTAGAATGTGGTTCAAGTGGTAGAATACCAGCTGTGAACAAAAAAGCCCAACACAGTGGCCTAAGTTCAAACCCAGCACCAGCACAAAAAAAAAAAAAAGAAAAAAAAATTGTATGGTTTTGTACATTTTTGTATTTTCAATAAAAGCTTGACCTACAGTAGTTTCCAGGAAGTGTCCAGTGTAGACTTGGTAATTATGTCAAAGTAGTTCTCAATGTAATTTTTTCTCTCCCCAACTGAATTTTTTTCCTATTAATATGAAAATATCTTAAAGTTTGATACAAGTAAAAAATTCTTTTAGAAGAACAAAATTTCCAAAATATAGAAAACTGGACACATTGCTTTCCCTTTTTCCCTAAGCCCAGTTCATATATAAGCACAAATGAATATGCAGATGTTTGTACATCATTCATTTATTTTACTTTCTCTTTTCTCATTTTTCTTTTTCTTCCTTTCCTTCTCTTTGCTTCTCTTTCCTTCTTCTTCTTTTTTTTTTTTTTTTTTTTGTTGTTGGTCGTGGGGCTTGAACTCTGGGCCTGGGCACTGTCCCTGCACTCTTCAGCTCAAGGCCAGCCCTCTACCCTTGAGCCACAGCTCCACTTCCCGGTTCTAGTGTTTTATTGGAGATAGAGTCTTATGGACTTTACTACCTTTACTCCCTAGCTGGACTACTGCCTTTACTGCTCCAGCTGGCTTTGTTGAACCATCATCCTCAGATCTCAGCCTCCTGAGTAGCTAGGATTACAGGCGTGAGTCACCGGTGCCCAGCCCCTCAGTTATTTCTTTAGGGGTAATAATTTTACATTCCAGGAAGACACTACATTTTACAGTATTCGATAGTATACTATTCTGTGTTTATCTTAATTATTACTTATTATTAATTGACCTTTAAGAACTGCTAGCTTTTATTCAGTGTTTAAGTTATTTTTCTCTGTAAAAGTCTAGAAATTGACTTTCAAAATCTAATCTTTAAGAATAAAGAGAATTATGGATTTATTTCACAGTGTGTTCTCCAAACTTTCATTGTTTTCTTTTTTTTTTTCTTTTCCTTTCGGTCATGAGGCTTGAACTCTGGGCCTGGGCACTGTCTCTGAGCTCTTCAACTCAAGGCTAGCACTCTGTCACTTGAGTCACTTGAGCCACAGTGCCACATCTGGTTTTCTGGTGGTTAATTGGCAATAAATTGTCTTAACGGATTTTCTGCCCGGGCTGGATTTGAATCACATTCCTCAAATCTCAGTTTCCCCAGTAGCTAAAATTACAGGCATGAGCAACTGGCACCAGGCTTGTATTGTTAATTCTTATGTATGCTTCTAGGGCTTTTTTCTTTTTCTTTTTTTCTTTCTTTTTTTTTTTTTTTGCTGGTCTTGGGGCCTGAACTCTGGGCCTGGGCCTGGGCACTGTCCCTCAGCTCTTCAGCTCAAGGCTAGCACTCTACCACTTGAGCCACAGGGCCACTTCCAGCCTTTTCTATTTATGTGGTGCTGAGGAATTGAACCCAGGGCTTCATGCATTCAAGGCAAGCACTCTACCACTGAGCCACCTTCCCAGCCCTAGGGCTTTTTTCAAGTAAATATATAATCACACAAAAAAAGAAAAAAATCATTAAAAGTTATAACGATAATAATTGGATGCTGGTAGCTTATCTATAATCCTACCTACTTAGGAGCCTGAGAACGAAGGATTGCTGTTCAAGGCCAACCTAGGCAGGAAAGTTTGTGAGGCTTATCTCCATTTAACCACCAAAAAGCTAGAAGTGGATCTGTGGCTCAAATAGTAGAGTGCTAGTAGCCTTGAGCAAAAAAGCTCAAGGACAGTTTTTAGGCCCCTGAGTTCAAGCCCCAGGAATGGCATTAAAAAAAAAAAAGTACCAGGGCTGGGAAGGTGGCTCAGTGGTAGAGCGCATGCCTTGCATGCCAGAGGCCCTGGGTTCGATTCCTCAGCACCATATAAGCAAAAAGCAAAAAGCTGGAGGTGGTGCTGTGGCTCAAGTGGTAGAGCACTAGCCTTGAGCTGAAGAGCTGAGGGATAGCGCCCAGGCCCAGAGTTCAGGCCCCATGACCGGACCCCAAAAAGACATAAGTCATAGGAAAATGGTTTAGACATTATTAGTTCTTCAAAGATTAAGGCTAATCTTAATTTTTATTTATAAAATGGGTTGGGTTTTTCTGTTGTTGTTGGTTTTTTTTGTTGTTGTTAGTTTTGTTTTGTGGGGCTTGAACTCAGGGCCTGAGAGCTGTCCCTGAGCTCTTCTGCTCAAGGCTAGCATTATACTACTTTGAGCCAGCGTTCCATTTCCCATTTTTGAATGGTTAATTGGAGATAAGAATCTCAGGTACTTTTCTGCCCTGGATGGCTTCTATCTTCTAGCCTCAAATATCAGCCTCCTGAGTAGCTAGGATTCCAGGCATGAGCCACTAGCTCTTGGCTTTATAAAATATGTTTGTAAGATTTTCTTGGTAGTAACACCATATAACTTTGTGAAACTTGTGTTTGTAGCTGAACTTGGTGATTATGATCTTGCTGAACATAGTCCTGAACTTGTCTCTGAGTTCAGATTTGTGCCTACTCAGACTGAAGAGATGGAGCTGGCTATTTTTGAAAAATGGAAGGAATACAGGTACTTGTTGTTTAGTCAGTTTTTTTTTATCACTACAATAATTTTGTGTTCATTTTTTTGTTTCTTTGATACAAATTCATTTTATCCTATTTAACAGTTTAATAAAAACCAGTTATTAACAGTTTTATGCCTACTAATTTAACAATTATTTTAAATTTCAGAGGACAGACACCGGCACAAGCTGAAACCAATTATCTGAATAAAGCCAAATGGCTTGAGATGTATGGAGTTGATATGCATGTGGTTAAAGTAAGTAAGCACTTTGTTGTAGAGTTTTCTTTTTTTGGGGGGTGGGTCAGGGGGCTTGAATTCAGAGCCTGAGCTCTGTCTCTGAGCTCTTTAGCTTGAGGCTAGCATTCTAACAGTTTGAGTTAGGCTCCATTTCCTATTTTTGTATGGTTAATTTGGAGATAAAAGTCTCACATGCTTTTCTGCCCCTGCTGGATTCAAACCATGATCTTCAGATCTCAGACTTCTGAGTAGCTAGGTGCTCAGCTGTCATGAACCTTTTATAAAAATTATTTCCTTTGAGGCTGGGAAGGTGGCTCAGAAGTAGAGTGTTTGCCTTGCAAGCATGAGGCCCTGGGTTCGATTCCTCAGTACCACATAAGCAGAAAAAGCTGGAAGTGGCGCTGTGGCTCAAGTGGTACAGTGCTAGCCTTGAACTGAAGAGCTGAGGGACAGCGCCTAGGCCTAGAGTTCAGGCCCCACGACCAACCAAAAAAAAAAAGAAAGAAAAATTACTTCCTTTGAGACTTAAGGTGATAACTTTGTAGTATGCAAGGGACAGGACACGTGCAGTTTGCATAGGCTCTAACTGAATACTTTGGATATGTGGTTTTTAAAAAGTTGAGATCTAATATTGAAAGACTAGAGTCTTAGATTCATTATAAATAAAGATATATAAAAATTCCTAGAATATGTAGGTTCTCTAATATTTTTGTAGACTTCAAGCCACTTTTTTCTTGTTACTTCATTTTATCTTTTTTTTTTTCTTTTGAGCTAGGATACCTCTAGGAGAGAGGAAACACTAGATTAAAAAATATAACTACTTCTGGGCACTGGTGGCTCACGCCTGTAGTCTTCGCTTCTTGGGAGGATCGCAGTTCAGAGCCAGCCGGAAAGTCCATGAGACTCTTATCTCCAATTAGCTATCAGAAAACTGGAAGTGGTGCTGTGGCTCAAGTGGAAGAGTGCTCCTCTTGAGCTGAAGAGCTGAGCGACAGCACCCAGGCCCAGAGTTCATGTCCTATAACTAACATTCCCCCCTCTCAAAAAAAAAAAAAAAAAAAATTAAAAATCCTAACTACTAGCTGGGCACCAGTTGTTCATGCCTATAATCCTAGTCACATTCCCATCCCTCCCTTCCTTCCTTCTACATGATTATATAAAAATTATTAGGTATTCAATTGATTTTTGTCAGTTGACTGTGTAAAAATTCAAAGTCAGACCAAATTAATCTCTGAAGAATAAAATGGCCTGGTGCTAGTAGCTCAAACCTCTAATCCTAGCTACTCAGGAGGCTGAGATCCGAGGATCGTGGTTCAAAGCCAGCCTGGGCAGGAAACTGTGAGACTCTTATCTCTAATAAAAAAAAGTCCATGAGACTCTTTATCTTCAATTAACTACCAGAAAACTGGAAGTGGCACTGTGGCTCAAAGTGGTAGAGCACTAGCCTTTTACAAGAAAAGCTCAAAGATGGTGTCCAGGTCCTGTGTTCAAGCCCCACAATTGACAAAACAAAAATAAATAACTATTGACATCTGTCTGGGTAGAGATTAACTTTCCATGTTGTTAAGGTTATATCATTGTTCATCAACATGCAGACATTCATGATTTATTGTGAAGAAAAATCACTTGTTATAAAAGGACTTCTCTATAATTTTATTTTCTGCAAAAATGTGTGTGTTTAACCTTGAAACATAAGTAGCAGAGTCTTTACAATCTACCTGGGGGAGGTAGATTTGGAATAATTCAATGTATTTAAAGTTTATTTCAGTCAACGGTACTTTGTTTTTTATTCTAAACAAGTATAGCTTAATAAACAAAATTATGTAATAATAGACATAAAAAGCCCTTAAAACCTTGGGATCCTCTTGCATCAACCCTTTGCTATGGTTATAGTTATGTGCTACCAGGCCCAATTCTTCTGTTATTTCATGTCAACTTTATCACTTTGTCAGTATTCAGTTAAGCTCTGTTTAAAAAAGTTCAGGAATCAATGTTGAAAATTTATAAGTTGAGAGGAAATAATCTGAAAAGAGCTTTTGTTGAAGTGGGAGTATAAGTACTGTTCTGCAGTTAAGACATATCTGGCAATAATCAGAGTCCCCTTTTATCTATTATTTTGCTTTTGGTGGTCAGCCAATGTCCAAAAATATTAAATGGAAACTCCAGAAATAAATAGTAAGGTATCTTGAGAGAGACCACATTTATATAATTATTAATGCTATATTGTTAGGACTGTTCTATTTTATTAGTTATTGTTAAGCTTTTACTGTACCTAACATTAAATTTCATAATAAACATGTATATTTAGGAAAAAAGTACATGGTTTGGTATTATCCACAATTTCAGGTATTCACTGGTATTTGGGAATAATAGAGGACTACTTCATAGTGTCTCAATGATAGAATGCATAAAATTTTAAGAGAATGTGATTTTGGATGCACTGATTGGTTAAAACATATTAAATGTTAACATTAGTTTGAATATATAATTAATATAACTTAGTGTAAAAATAAAATTAAACAGATGAATGACAAAGTTAAATCTTTTCAAGCAAATAAAGCAGCCACTTTTTTCTCTTATTAAATTAGGCTAGAGATGGAAATGACTATAGTTTGGGACTTACCCCAACAGGAGTCCTCGTTTTTGAAGGAGAGACCAAAATCGGCTTATTTTTTTGGTAAGCAGAAATAATGTCAGAAATACTTATTGTTGTTTTTATTTTTAATCAGTAAATGCATTTATATGACACTAAAATACAAATTGGGAATCAGATAATAATGAAAAGTTTGCAGATGGAAAGCAAACTTTTCATCTTGTCTCCTTTTTTTTTTTTTTTTTTTTTTTTTGTCGGTTATGGGTCTTGAACTCTGGGCCTGAGCAATATCTCTCAGCTCTTCAGCTCAAGGCAAGCACTCTACCACTTGAGCCACAGCACCACTTCCAGTTTTCTGAGTAGTTTATTGGAGATAAGAGTTTCACAGCCTTTCTTGCCTGGGCTGGCTTTGAACTGCAATCCTCAGATCTCAGTCTCCTGAGTAGCTAGGATTACAGGCGTGAGCCACTGGCGCCTGACTCCTGTTACATTCTTATTCATCTTTTTTTCCACTTCTCAGAGCAATTATTTAAATTCTTCTAGTTATAGTTTCTGTTAGTTACAAGTTATATCAAAATATCTCAAAATAGTATTTCCTTGTTAAATGTTCTCTACATATATACTCCCTTTATGTATGTTTGTTACTATTTTTAGTATTTTTTTCTATAGACATAGACCATACCTCTGTTTTTTAAGGGGGAAGATATTAATACTTTGACCCCTCCTTTTAAGATTAACTCCTTTCTGTTGTGATTCTGTCATCCATATTCATACATTAAGTTTTACTTTTAATATCAAGAATAGACATATAAGCCGGGCGCCAGTGGCTCATACCTGTAATTCTAGCTACTTAGGAGGTTGAGATCTGAGGATTGTTGTTCAAAGCCAGCCTAGGCAGAAAAGTCCCCTTGAGAGTCTTACTGCCCATAAACCACTCAAAAAGTGGAAGTGGAGCTGTGGCTCAGAGTGGTACAGTGAGAGCCTTGAGCAAAAAAGAACTTAGGGACAGTACCCAGATGCTGAGTTTAACCCCCATAACTTTTTTTTTTTAAGACACATACATAGATTATATAACTATAGTCCTTTGGACTTTGAGTGATATTTAGAACATTAGTCTAGAATCAGGAAATAGTGTTTTTATTAATAATGTTAATTGTCAGGAATATTTCAGAGTATAGGGGCTTACTGATGTTACATACACAAGCTAAATAAAGATGGCACCTGTATACTAGCTCCTGTGTTATTTACCTCTTACCATAGGCAAGAGGACCATTAGCTCATTGCCTTCCTACCCAAACTCACATTAATTATCCAGGTGTTCTTGGTGGGGACTTTGTGAAAGACTTTTTGGGTAGAACACCTTTATAATCATTCCTTAATGGAAAAAGTTGGGGCATTTATCTTTGTAGTCCTTGCATGTTAATTTTCTGGCATTTCCAGGTTGTTATTTTGATTCATAGCCAGAGAATGCTCTACGGAAGTAACGAAAGCACCTTTTATGCTTCTTCATAAGATTATTGTGAGAATTGAAAGATTAATCAGTGGGAGTGAGAACCATGCTTTTTTGAGATTCACAGTTCATAAAACCAGAATTCAAATGTAGCAGGTAGTTGAGAATTGTGGTGCAGTTTTGTGGAGTTGTGGCCATAAATGAAGCTTTTTGTTGTTGTTGTTGTTGGTTATGGGGCCTGAACTCTGGGCCTGGATGCTCTCCTTCAGCTCTTCACCTCAAGGCTAGCGCTCTACCATTTGAGCCACAGCACCATTTCCAGCTTTTTCTGCTTACGTGGTGCTGAGGAATCAAACCCAGGGCCTCATGCATGCAAGGCAAGCACTCTACCACTGAGCCACCTTCCTAGCCCCTGAAGCTTATTTTAGTTAAAGAATTTTATTTAATTTTTTGTCAGTTGTTGGCCTTGAACTCAGGGCTTGAGCTCATTTGCTCAAGGCTAGCACTCTACCACTTTGAGCCGCATCTCCATTTCCAGTTTTCTGGTGGTTAATTGGGGATAAGTTTCATGAACTTTCCTGTCTGGGCTGGCCTTGAACTGTGATACTCAGATCTCAGCCTCTTGTGTAGCTGGGATTACAAGCATGAGCTACACCAGCGCCCGGCAAGAAAAATTTTGAATAAATGTCCCTCTGTGTAGTTCAGGTTATTCTCTAAACTCTTGATCCCCTGCCTCAGTGCTGGAATTATAGGCATGCACTAATATGTCTATTCCTAATCTATATCTATCTATATATGTATATCTGGCTTAAAAGTGAGCTTATTTCTTTTTAAAGATTTATTTCAGGCTGGGAATGTGGCTTAGTGGTAGAGTGCTTGTCTAGCGTGCATGAAGCCCTGGGTTCGATTCCTCAGTACCACACATACACAGAAAAAGCCAGAAGTAGCACTATGGTTCAAGTGTTAAGAGTACTATCCTTGAGCAAAAGAAACTCAGAGACAGTGCCCAAGCCCTGAGTTCAAGCCTTAGGACTGGCAAAGAAAGAAAAAAAAATTATTTCCTCAAAAATTGCTATAGAAAATCACAATTGAACCACATTGGTTCCTAGATACAGTAAGACCAAAAGAGGATACTCCACAAGGGTGCAATGCCTATCTGCCTCTTCATATTTATATAAAATAATATATGTATATTGAAATGAACTCAAAGATATGGAAACAAGATCTATTTTACTTTTTGTTTTTTGATGATCTGTCTTTATGGTGGAGTCAAGTGTGTATCTTTGGAGGGTCAGAGGGAAAGTATAGAACTTGAGGGAAAGATGAAAAAGTACAGCGATGGAGCTCAATAGACATTAATAAAAGTGAACTATATAACTCTTAGGTGGAGGGCGGGACTGGGAGAGAGTGAGGGAAAAGAAGACATTAAATGAAAGGAAATGTACTCATTACCTGACTCATGTAAATGTAATTCCTCTGTACATCACCTTTATAATAACAAGTAAATTTAAAAAAAAAATCACAATTGATGAAGACTCTCATCAGTGGTATTTTATTTTATTTTTTAGTTTTTGTTGGTCGTGGGGCATGAACTCTGGGCCTAGGCACTGTCCCTCAGCTCTTTAGCTCAAGGCTAGTGCTCTACCACTTGAGCCACAGTGCCACTTTCAATTTTCTGAATGGTTTATTGAAGATAAGAGTCTCACGGTCTTTCCTGCCTGGGGTTGGCCGGCTTTGAACCTCGATTCTCAGATCTCAGTGTCCTGAGTAGCTAGGATTACAGATGTGAGCCACCCGGCCCAGCTTAGTATTTTATTTTATACCTAGTAAAAAGTTCTTAGGTCTTACCTCATTCAAATCCTGTGCTGTTTAACAATAAAACAATTTTTCATAGGCCTGGAGAATCTCTTAGACCACAATTGGGGGTCTGTGAAACACATAGATTTCTTTATTTTTTCCCTTAATATTTGTATTATCTGATGTGTGTACAGCATCAGTTTGTCAGAGTTATTTTTGAAATAATTATTTTTCTGTTGCCTTTTCTTTTTAAATTAAAGACCTATTTTGTTTTGTTTGATGGTACTGGGTTTTGAACTCCATGCCTCAAGCTTCCTCAGCTGATCTGAGCAGTGCCTCCAGCCCTATATTTTGCTGGTTATTTTTGGTGTCTTGCTTCCTGTTCAGCACGTGCTTGAGCATGATCCACCTATGTTGTGCTTCTCGTTAGCTAGAATGACAAGCACATGACATTGTGTTTAGCTCATTGTTGAGAAAGGGACTAAGATGGTTGAGATGGCTAGGTGCTGGTTCCTGTAATCCTAGCTGCTTAGGAGGCTGAGATCTGAGGATCATCATTCAAAACCAGCCTGTTCAGGAAACTCTATAAAATTCTTATCCAATTAACCACTAGAAAACCAGAAGAGGAGCCGTGGCTGAAAGTGGTAGTGCTAGCTTTGAGCAAAAGAGCTAAGGGACAGCACCTGGGCCTCAAGTTCAAGATCCACGACTAATCAAAAAAAAAAAAAGTTTGAGATAGTGGTTTGAGGCAAGCCTGAATAACAAAAAAGTCCTCTTTTCCTTCAAGTACCTTATTATGGGTAGGAGCCAGGGCTAGACATTTTTGATGGATGATCCAGGTTACCTTTACCCTCTTACCAATACTCAGTTTAAATGTTAATAATGAAATATATATTCTTGAAGTAAAGAATGTCTTTTTCCTAATTTGCCTGCTGATCTTATATAATAGGCCCAAGATAACCAGATTGGATTTTAAGAAGAATAAATTAACACTGGTGGTTGTAGAAGATGATGATGAGGTAAGAATTATAATGCATTACTTAAACAATGACTGTGTTGAAAAAATTGAGACTCTTAGGAGGAAAATACTTTGTAATAGGTATAGAATGGAAATTTAGTAATTAATAGTTGAAGTAACTTCCTAATTTAGACCACATCATCTTAAAAATATGGTTTTAGGCAGTAAATGTAAAGATAATATAAACATTTATTGGGTCTTCATTGATAATATACCTAAGGTATACAGAAAGTTACATTTAAGCTCACGCCTGTAATCCTAGCTACTTAGGCTGAGATCTGAGGATCTCAGTTCAAAGCCAGCCTGGGCAGGAAAGTCCATGAAACTCTTATCTCCAATAAGCCACTAGAAAAAGCTGGAAGTGGCACTGTGGCTCAAGTGGTAGAGTGCTAGCCTTGAGCTGAAGAGCTGAGGGACAGCGCCCAGGCCTAGAGTTCAAGCCCCACAACCAAAAAAAAAGAAAGTTATGTTTATTCCTTTAGTACTTCATCATAAAGACCTTTTTTTGTGGGTCGTGGGGCTTGAACTCTGGGCCTGGGCGCTGTCCCTCAGCTCTTCAGCTCAAGGCTAGCACTCTACCACTTGAGCCACAGTGCCACTTCCAGCTTTTTCTGCATATGTGGTACTGAGCCACCTTCCCAGCCCCACATAAAGATTTTTTGGGGGGGGCTGGGAAGGTGGCTCAGTGGCAGAGCACTTGCCTTGCATGCCTGAGGCCCTGGGCTCAATTCCTCAGCACCACAGAAGCAAAAAGAAAAAAGCCGGAAGTGGCACTGTGGCTCAAGTGGTAGAGCGCTAGCCTTGAGCTGAAGAGCTGAGCTACAGTGCCCAGGCCCAGAGTTCAGGCCCCACAACTGGACCTCCCCCCCCCCCCCCCCAAAAAAAAAAAAACAGATTTTTTTTTAAGTCTCTTCCTAATAATAATTTTTAATAAAGCCTTTTGAACTAAAGATTTCTTTTTTGTGTATGTGCACCAATACCAGGGATTGAACTCTGGGCCTTATACTCACTCTCAGCTTTCTTGCAAATAGCAAATGCAATAGTACTTGAACTACACCTCTAATGCACCTTTTTTGCTGAATAATTGTGAGATGAAGTCTTGTAGACTTTTTTTTTTTTGCCCTGGCTGGCTTTAAACCACAGTCTTCTAGGTTTCAGCCTCCTGCATAGCTAGGATTACAGGAATTAGCCCCTAACACCCAGTTTAAAGATTACTTTTAATCAGCTCAAACATAATTCATAATTGAAGTTTACCTTTTTAAGTCAGTTAAAATATAGTTCTAATTAATATACATATAGATAGATCTCAAATGCATTATGTTAAGTAAAAGGAAAACCAAAAAAACCAAATGATTCCATTAATGTAAAGATTAGAGGAAAGCAAGCAATCCATATAAGAAAAGCAAATACGTCACTGATTACTTGGGAGGTTGTGAGGGTTTGACTACAAAGGGACAGGAGGAACATTTTGGGAGATAAGGAATGTTAACATTCTGTAACCTGATTTTGGTATGATTTTAGTACTTTATGAGTTTGTCAAAACTCACAGAATTATGCATCCTCAAATCTTATTGTTTACTACTTAGTAAACTTTTATGGATATACATAAAGATATAGATGAAAGCAAATTGGGCAAAATATTGATTTCAAGTTTCTAGTTGCTATATAATTTATAATCTTCCTCCTCATTGTTATTATAGTGATGGATTTTGGTTGTCCTAGTGTAAAGTATGACCAGCAGTTGGTGAAAGTAAGGTGAGGTTTTCGGAAACTTTGCCAATAATAGATTTTTAAAAAAAAGTATTTTATTTTTCTCTTGTGTATGCTGGTCCTGGGGCTTGAACTCAGGGTCTGACCACTCTCCTTTAGCTTTTTTGCTTAAGGCTAGTGCTAAACCACTTGAGTCACAATTTTACTTCTGGCTTTTTGGGTAATTAATTGGAGATAAGAATCTTATAGGCTTTCCTGCCCAGACTGGCTTTAACCTCTGTCCTCAGATCTCAGCCTCCTGAGCAGCTAGGACTTTATAAATAAGAACCACTGGTGCCCCACTGGATTTTTTTTTTAACCTTTAAAATTTTGTTTATGGGGCTGGGAAGCTGGCTCAGTGGTAGAGTACTTGCCTTGCATGCATGAGGCCCTGGGTTCCATTCCTTAGCATCACATAAACAGAAAAAGCCCGAAGTGGAACTGTAGCTCAAGTGGTAGAGGGCTTGAGCTGAAGAGCTGAGGGACAGCGCCCAGGCCCAGAGTTCAGGCCCCACAACCGACCAAAAAACAAAAAAATTGCTTATGGTCTAGATGTTAACATTTGGTCACATTTACTGGGTCTTATTTGTTTTAGTGAGCGTGTTATATTCTCTTCTGATCCCATGAGGAGGCAATGTGAAAATCTCAACATAAAATGAGTAAAAGTTAGGAAATCAAGTATTATTCTGCATCATGATATTAATCTGATAATTTTCTGTGTGATTATTGTGGATATATGTAGACTTCATTAAATATAACTGAAAAAGAGTGAGACTTAATAACCTTAAGTTAAACTCTTCTACATATTTAACATAATTTTTTTCAAAATTTTTAATATTGCTGGTAAACTAGTCACTTTAAGAACACCTCTGGCAAATAAATGGTCATCATGTTTATATATGTAAAGTCAGGAAATTTTTGTTGACAGTAAAGTTAAAGAAGCAGTATTTGTCTGAAGCTTGGTTTTTTTTTTAGATTGGTGCTGCCTGCTGGGAAGCACCACTTCTCATCAGTATGTCTTGGTGTTCTGCTATGACTCTAAAGTTGATGTATGAAAAGAAATGGATTGCTTATGTTCTGTGTACAATGGTAGGCTTTATCAGGATGAATAAGAAATACCCATATTCTCAAGGAGATTTGAATGTAGTCCAGTTGTCCAATAGAGAAGGTATTGCAGCACTATGGTTAAGTAGTAAGACAAGCCTATATTATAGCATGGGGACACAGACACAGACACAGACACACACACACACACACACACACACACACACACACACACACTTTTTGCTTGGGCAAAAGTATGATACTGTCTAAAAAATACAGTAAAAAAGTGGGGTTGGGGGGAGATGCTGAGAGTATGGCTCAAATGGTAGAAAACTTGCTTAGTAAGTTCAAGGCTCTGAGTTTAAACTGGTGTCATGGGGGAGAAAGAGAACATAATTTTTACAAGTATGAAGATCATGTAGCTCATGATGCCATTTTTCTTGCACTAAATGAAAAATAGTTCTTGACATGGAAAGAACTTCATGATACATACAAGTAATGGTAAATGAATGATGGTATGTTAATGTCTTTATGTCTGAGTTTTTAAAATGACACTATTTTCCACAAAGAAAAGTTAATGTAGATTTACAAGTACTGGTTGGTTGTATTAAGCAGAGAGATTTGGCTTTGATTGGTTTTGGTTTTCCTAAATTATGTTTTCCTCACATGCATTTCTTATAAAATAAATGTCAAGAAATACAAGGTAGAATGGCACCCAATACCAATTTTTTTTTTTTTTTTGTCAGTTGTGAGGCCTGAACTCTGGGCCTGAGTGCTATCCCTCAGCTCTTCAGTTCAAGGAAGTCTAGCACTCTACCACTTGAGCCACAATGCCACTTCTGGCATTTTCTGCTTATGTGGTACTGAGGAATCAAATCCAGGGCCTCATGCATGCAAGGCAAGCACTCTACCACTGACCCACCTTCCCAGCCCATTATACTGATTTTTTAAAAGGTGCTTTTTAAAATTTATGCTTTGTTTAGATTTTAAGAGTATACAGAATTCATGTTTTATCTTTTGACAGAGATGTCATATATCAAAATCATTTTTGTAGTTTAAGCCTGTTGGAAAGGCGGAAATTGGGAGTATCAGGGTTTGAGACAAGCCTGGGCATAAAGTTATCAAGACCTTTATTTCACCCAACAATTTATATTTATTATTTATTTATATTCACCCAACAATCTGGGTGTGGTGGTGTAATCCAAACTATTCTGGAGGCATAGGTAGATGCATTGAGTAAGGGGTAAGACCAGGTTGATGGCTCATGGGATGTATAGGTAGGAGTCTGTGGTAGTAGGTCAGCTGTGGCTCCAAAAAACAACAAAAACAGTAAGACCTATCTAAAAAATAAGTAAGGTTAAAAATGTCGAGAGTGTGGCTGAAGTGCACAGTTCTTGCCAAAACCATGAGTTAAAGCCTATCAGTGCCACCAAAACCAAATAATTTATCCGAATTAGCTAATATTTTTTCATAGACTTTAGCAACCTAATATACATGTGATAATTTGAAAAGTCCTACTGGGTTAAAAAAAAATGTTCCAGCCACCAAATTTCTTTCTTTACAAGGTTCTTCCTAGCGTTAATTATTTCAAAAGATTTTTTTTTTTTTTTTTTTGTCAGTCATGGGGCTTGAACCCTGGGCCTGAGTGCTGTCCCTCAGCTCTTCAGCTCAAGGTTTAACTTTACCTCTTGAGCCATAGCGCCACTTCTGGTTTTCTGGTAGTTTATTGGAGATGAGAATTTCACGGCTTTTCCTGCCCACTCTGGCTTTGAACTATGATCCTCACATCTCAGCCTTCTAAGTAGCTAGGATTAGAGGCATGAGCTGGAAGTTGGTGGCTCACACCTGTAATCCTACAATCCTCCCCAAGAGGCTGAGATCTGAGGGTTGTGGTTCAAAGTCAGCCAGGCAGGAAGTCTGTGAGACCCTTATTTCCAAATAACCGCTAGAAAAATGGCTCAAAGTGGCATAATACTAGACTTGAGCAAAAGGTTTCAAAGACAATGCCCAAACCCTGAGTTCAAGCTCCCATGACTGACAACAGAACAAAACAAAAAGATGACACTGTTTCAGCACTGAAATGAAAAGTTACTATGAATGCAGAAAAGCATTTCATCATTACTACATTAAGTATATTTGTCATTCATGAAGAAAAAATTTGTAGTTGGAGAATGACCTTGGTTTGGTGGTTTCAGAAAGCAATCTGAGTGCTTAATTATTTGCTCCTTCATATTGTTATGGTTGTATTTACATTATGAAATAGAAGACATTGGATTTTTTGATTTAATAGCTGCCTGTTTATATATTCTTTCCTTTTTCAGGGCAAAGAACAGGAGCACACATTTGTTTTTAGACTGGATCATCCAAAAGCATGCAAGCATTTATGGAAATGTGCTGTGGAACATCATGCCTTCTTCCGCCTCCGAGGACCTGTCCAAAAGAGTTCTCATCGCTCTGGATTTATTCGACTAGGATCACGGTTCAGATATAGGTTAATTTTAATAGCTGTTTTTAGTATTTTCCCTCCATTCTTGCATACAGATTACAGTGTAAATGTTGGATTGACCTCATTTCAGAGGTGGAAACCACAGTATAGAAAAGTAAAATGCTTTGCTATTGGTTAAAAGAAAAATTAAAAGTGGTATTTATTATAATTTCTTGACAAGATGGAACATTTTAGTAATTGTGTTACTGATTTTTAGAATCACTCTTAATGTTTACTAAATGTAATAACCAATGTTGATTTATATCCATCTAATTCTAACAGCTAAGTATCATATAGAAAAAGGGTATCTTGCACTAAATGAGATACGAATCTGAATATTTGTAGTCTTGTAGCCTGATATTCCATTATTCTTATAGACTCCTGTTTCTTGTTTTCATGTGTTAGAAATGTTTTTGTTTATGCTACATCACAATAGATTATTAGTTTTGAGATTTCAGCATGCCATGTGAATATTAAAGAAGGAATGGTTAATACTAGTAATATGATAAGTCAACCATGGAATTCATGTAAGACACTTCTGTTTTAAAATTAGGAGGCCATTTCTTAACAAAATTTAAATGGAAAATTAGCAAGATAATGGTTTTTAAATTTTTTTTCTGGAAGATTGGGTATATTGACTCCACCTATAGTCCTAGCTGCTTGGGAAGCTGAGGTCAACATGATCGCAGTTCCAAACCAGCCTGGAGTTCATAATCCTCATCTCAGCCAATAAAAAGCTGATCCTGATAGTGCATGTTGATTATTCTAGCTATCTAGGAAGCATAATAGTGGATTGTAGTCCAAGTTGGTGTGGACAAAATAAACAAGACCCGATTCAGAAAATAACAAAAGTAAAACTGACTGGGGATGTGTGGTTCAAGTGGTAGAGGTCCTGAGTTTTCAGGACCACCAACAAAACCCCAAAAAAGTTCCTGGAAAATTATTCTGGAAAGCATATTATTAAAAGTAACTGGGAGTTTTACACTTTACAGTGAGGAGTTTGAATACAGAGTTCCATAGGAACATAGACATTTTGACATTAGACATAGACATTAGTAAACTTATTAAGTATGTTTGTGGATGATAGACATGCTTAAGGAACAAAACCATCATATGTTGCATATTTCATGAAGGCTTAAAGAGTGTAAGAATGATGTGGTGAAAAGGGACACTGAAATTATTATTAGTAGCTGCTAGTAGTTATTTATTATTATTATTTTTTGGTTGTGGGGCTTGAACTCTGGGCCTGGGTGCTGTCCTTCAGCTCTTCAGCTCTGGCTTTTTCTGTTTATGTGGTGCTGAGGAATCAAACCCAGGGCCTCATGCATACAAGGCAAGCACTCTACCACTGAGCCACCTTCCCAGCCCTGTTAGTAGTATTTAGAATGACATTCAAGATGTTTCTTTGAAGGGGAATCTTGATGTTCTATTACTTATCTGTATTTAGTTAGCTACTGTAGACCTCAGATTCTCTTATTCTTCTGTCTCATTTACTTTAGTGGGAAAACTGAGTATCAGACCACAAAAACTAATAAAGCAAGGAGATCAACATCCTTTGAAAGAAGACCAAGCAAACGATATTCTCGACGAACTTTACAAATGAAAGGTGCGTGCAGCCCGGTTTCAAAGGTCTGTTCTTCCTTGACAATTAATCACATATTGTGATATTTACTTGAGGGAAAGTTCCTTGAAGCTCCTTGGTCTGTTCCAATTAATTCAGGTATCCTTATGTAATGTATGTCATAAACACTGGGAAAAATAGCCTATAATGCCAACTGAGATTAAATTTTATATTAATCCTCATTCAGATGAACATAATTTGAGATTATGGTCAGTTTTTGTTTGTGTTCAATATTTTAGTGTGCCTTTAGAGTAAAATGTTTTTTCTTAGAGGTGTTTTTAAAATATTAGCAACTTTAACATTAAGAATTCTATTAGCTACAGTTTTAAATTTAATATATACCAGATATTTCCAAATACATAAATTTTACTTGTTATTTAAGATATTTCAGTTGTATAAGAAACAGCAGTTTACCTTTCACAAATAAGTTAAATCTTAAGTTTGGCTTTGAATCTGAGAGTATATTAAAATACATCTACATCCAGTGTCAAGGTCATCATGAGTTTTTTCAAAAATAAATAACCCTTGTGATCTGAATTTTAGATTATTAGAAGTTTTTGTTAGGCTGGGTGTTGGTAGTTCATGCTTGTAATCTTACTCAGGAGGCTGAGATCTGGGGATCATAGTTCAAGGCTGGGTGGGAAATTCCATGAGACTCATCTCCAACTAACAACCAGAAAACAGGAAGTGGCATTGTTCAAAGTGGTAGAGGGCTAGTAGCTTTGAGTGAACAAGCCCAAGGACAGTGCCAAGGTCCTGAGCTCAAGCCCCTTGACCAAAGAAAAACAAAAATTATTGGCATAAATAATTATACAAGGAGTTGCACTATGATATTTAATATGTACAGATAATCTACAAAGTTTCAATTTAACATGTCCATTTTTGTGTATAATGTACCTTGATCAGTGTCACTCCCTGCATTTTTAACTTCCCCATCTATCCCATCCCCACTTACCTCCTAAATTCTCCTAGGTCTAATAGCCAAGCACCGGTAATGCCTATAATCCTTTGCTACTTAGGAAGCCGAAATCTGAGGACCCAGGTTCAAAGCCAGCCCAGGCAGGAAAGGCTGTGAGACTTTTATCCCTAATAAAAAAAAAACTGGAAGTGGCAATGTGACTCAAGTAGGATAGTGCTAGGCTCGAGCAAAAAGGAGTTGAGGGACAGTGGGCTCAGGCTCAGAGTTCAAGCCTAAAAACTGACCAAAAAAATAATAATACTGAGCATTATGATTGTATTTGCCTACCATTCCTCTGTCATTTGTCCACCTTCCTTCCTCTTAGCCCCTATTGCAGTATTAAGTAGCTATACAAAGGGGTTTCAATTCCAGAAGCCCAGGTTATCAGTACATTGTATGTTGATCAATGTCACTCCTTCCATCATTCTTTCTTTTTTTTTTTTTGGTCGGTCGTGGGGCTTGAACTCTGGGCCTAGGCGCTGTCCCTCAGCTCTTCAGCTCAAGGGGAGCGCTCTACCACGTGAGCTACAGCGCCACTTCTCCATCATTCTTTCTATGTATATATATATATATATATATATATATATATATATATATATATATAATTTTTTTTTGGGGGGGGGGTCTGGTTGTGGGGCCTGAACTCTGGGCCTGGGCGCTGTCCCTCAGCTCTTCAGCTCAAGGCTAGCACTCTACCGCTTGAGCCACAGCGCCACTTCCGGCTTTTTTCTTTTTGCTTATGTGGTGCTGAGGAATTGAACCCAGGGCCTCAGGCATGCAAGTCAAACGCTCTACCACTGAGCCACCTTCCCAGCCCCTCTTTTTTTCTTTAGTTTTATTTTTCAGATAAGTCCTAGTGTTTTTGCCCACACCTCACAACTGGTTCAAGCTGGGGTTACAGATGTCCTCACCCTCACTTGGCCTCAATAGTTCTGTTTTTAAAAAGATACTTTATACTTAATTTATTTGGAAGTGGAAATAATTGCTATTACTGAATTTACTGGCATGAGCCTCAGAACATTTTTGTAAAATCCAAGTTTTTGAATAGATAGTTTGGAAGCATGGTTTTTATCAAGCAATTAATCAATTTTTTCCATCAAAGTGAAGCAATTTCTTTTGAAGGATGAGACTAACAAGATTTTTTTTTTTCTTCTGTTAGCGAGTACCACAAAACCTGAAGAACTAAGGTAAGTAATATATTGCAACTTAGAAAAGTTTTATATTTAATGTATAAAAGTTAAAATTCTTATCTTTAATGTATATAATAAATATATATATAATTTATACAGATACCAAAAAGCAGTTTCAGCGATTTATATAGTTGCTGTTATTTGAACATTGTTAAGGATCTCTTAGTAACAAGTTCTCCATAGGCATTGGGAGACAGTAGAGAACAAGTAAATGTAATGCCAGATAAAGTTGACATTAAGAAAATGAAGCATTTTCTAATTTGGGGAGGGGAAAGGAAATAACAAAATGCTGAAATAAGGATACAGGCTGACCCATTGTAACAATGAGATGTATAAGACACTATGTTGAAAACGAACTTTACAACTGGGGCCGGGGAGGGAGGAGATGGTGAGGGAAGGAATGGCAGGGGAAAAACAAAGGAGAGGGTAACAATGCTCTATAGGAAATGTACTCATTATCTTATGTAACTGTACCCCTCTGTACAGAATCTTTACAGTAAAAAAAAAATATTAAGTAAAGAAAATGAAGCACTTTGAAGACGTATAACGTGGAATGGATATGCTATTCATAATGAAAATGACATTATTAGCAAGTGATTGAGAATATAAAAATGAATAAATTTGGGGCTGGGAAGGTGGCTCAGTGGTAGAGCGCTTGCCTTGTATGCCTGAGGCCCTGAGTTCAATTCCTCAGCACCACATAAGCAAAAAGAAAAAAGTCGGAAGTGGCGCTGTGGCTCAAGTGGTAGAGCACTAGCCTTGAGCTGAAGGACAGCCCCCAGGCCCAGAGTTCAGGCCCCATGACCGGACCCCCCCCCCAAAAAAAAAAAAAAAACGAATAAATTTAAAGCACAAATACTGATTTTTGCACATAAGCAATTTTATTTGTAGGACAGGTCCCGGTTGGTAGTGGTATATAATCCTTCCTTACATGATGTTGAATTAGGGTTAGTAGTTTGGTTTGTGTGTCTCTAGTCACATAGTAATTTGGTCTATAATTTTCTTATATCTTTATCTGGTTTTGGTGTCAGGGTGATACTGGCTTTACAGAATAAGTTAGTAAATAGGCCCTCCTTGTAATATTTTTAGAAGAATTTGTAAAGAATTGGTATTCTTCCTTAAATCTGTGGTAGAATTTATGTTATATGGCTGGCCTGGATTTTCTATTAAGTTTTACGATTCTTCATTCAGCAGGGAGTAGGTGGCTCATGCTTGTAATCCTAGCTATTAAGTAGACAGATATCTGAGGATCACAGTTCAAAGCCAGTCCAAGCAGGAAAGCCCATGGGACTCTTATTTCCAATTAACAACTCCCTTGTACCCGACCCCAGCCCCCAAAAAGCCAGAAGTGAAGCTGTGGCTCAAGTGGTAGAGCACTAGCTTTGAACACAAAAGCTTAAGGGCAGCACCCAGTTCTTGACTTCAAGTCCCAGGCCCAGCACCAAAAACAAAAACAAAAAACACTCAACTATTTTGTCATGCCTTTATTGGCTGAAAGGGAGATTGGGAAAGAATATGAGAGCTTAAAGTAAAGGAAGTACCTAGAAAAGAACAGAAGTGTAAACAAAATATTTAAGCAGTAATATGATGTTGAAAAATGAAGGCTTGTTTGCAAAATATAGGCTTTCCTGTAAGATGTCCTGAGATACATATTTTTTAAATAAAAAAATGAGTATGTTTCGTTTCTTTCTGAGAATTAAAAGTTAATGTGTTACTGTCTTTGCAATGCCTTTGCTTCGGGAGTAGAAAAAGCATACTTAAATGCTGATAGCCTTTTTTTGTTTTTTAGAATAGGCTTTTAACCTTCCTCCCTTCCACCCTTCTCTCCATCCTTCTTTCCCTTCTTTCTCTTTGTGATTTCTTTTCCAAGTTTGCTTTCATCTTTTATGTGCCTGCATTTGGGACTCTGTATTTACCTGTAAATAAAGTCTATTCACCTTCTCTGTTCCAGAAAGTGATCAGATTTTCTGGTTTATGAATGGTTTCTTCCTTTGATTCTCTGTTGTGTGTCTTTAATCATTTGCATAAGAATTTGGGTGAAGGGAATGTAAATGCCTGTGTTCAATTATCTGTTTTGAACAAGACAGAGGAATTTTAAAAAGATGCCTTCAAGCTCAGCTAGTTACTGCATTTTCAATCTTCCTTGGTACCCAGTTCCAGCAAACAAAGCAACTCTTAGTTTTTCTATTTGCTGGGGACAAGAGAAAGTAGTCTGTAATCCAAACCACAAAACCAAATCCCAAACATGGCAGAAATGATGTTCACCATTGATTTTGTTACAAAGACACGTAGTCTAAACACTTGACCTCCATATCCTCACCTATCAGTCCTGACTAATAAAGGGAGAGACTGAAGGAAGATGCCAGGGTTCACAGAGCAGTTAGACTTTTTAATGGTTCATCCTTTGTTGGGTGTCTCAGAAAACTAGCACAACCTATACCCCCTGGGGAAAGCAATGACTAAAAATTAGTAACCCAGAGATCCCAAAAGTACATAATTGTGTGGTTTTTTTTTTTAACTAGTTAATCTCTTAAACTTCAGTTGCTTTGTCTATAAAATGTGGTGGTGGAGGGTGATTCCCACCTTTTAGGATTGTTATGAAGACTAAATATGATAATATACATAAAGTACTTGGTTTAACATGGTAAATACCCATTGCATTCTGAATGTGTGTGTGTGTGCACGTGCATGTGTGTGTGTGTGTGTGTGTGTTCCTTTATGGAAAATTGTAGAGAAAAGGAAGGAATTTTACCCATCTCCATGAAATTCATAGTCTGAAGGAAAGATATAACCATAATTTCACACTATGTGTTATTTATTTATTTATTTATTTTTATTGTGAAAATACCATGCAGAGGGGTTACAATTACATGAGCAAGGTAATGAGTACATTTCTTTTTCTTTTTCTTTGGGTCCGGTCGTGGGGCCTGAACTCTAAGCCTGGGAACTGTCTCTCAGCTCTTCAGCTCAAGGCTAGCACTCTACCACTTGAACCATAGCGCCACTTCCGGCTTTTTTCTTTTTGCTTATGTGGTGCTGAGGAATCGAACCCAGGGCCTTACGCATGTAAGGCAAGTGCTCTACCACTGAGCTACCTTCCCAGCCCCAATGAGTACATTTCTTATCAAGCATTGTTGCCTCCTCCTTTGTTTCCCCTTACCATCCCTTCCCATCTCCCCTCCTCCCCTTACTCTATGTGTTTTATATCTAACAAAAATTTGATGCATATAAGTAACTCCTCAATTCTGGTGGAAGATATGACTCTTTTTTTCTCCAGGGATACTAACAGAGAAATCAGACATATATAATCATAGTTCCCCTCATTTGTAGTAATTAGAATATGCCTATAAATCTATGCCTATGAATCTAAATAATTCATACAACCAGTATTCTTTACTGACTGTATAATGATAACATGCAATAAGACATGGCTTCTGCCTATATACACTTTAAAGTCTAACACTTAAGAATTATAGATATAAAAATTATATTAAGTGAAGTAAGCCAGGCGCAAAGAAACATAGGTCCCATGGTTTCCCTTATTTGCAATAACTAGTATACATCTGAGACAAGCAGAAAAGGTCAGATAAGATGATGTTAAGCGAAATGAACCCCAAGATAAGCACACAAGTGGTTTTTTTCTTTCTTGCTATTGTTTCTAACATATTTATAAGGTACCATGTGATTTATTATTTTTTTTTAATTTCATTGTATGTCTTTCCCCCATGGTATAAGCTGTTTTCACTGAATTTGATGTTGGTATAATTTGGGGAGGAGAAGGGAAAAAACAAATTGTTTAAGTAGGGATACAGGTTGACCCATTGCAACGAGATGTACAAGATGCTATGTCAAAAAACGAACTTTACAATTTAGGCAGGGGGAAGGGGGGGAAATGTAGTTGTGGAGATGGGAGGGAAGGGATGGTAGGGGAAAACAAAGGAGGAAGCAGCAATGCTTGATAAGAAATGTACTCATTACCTTGCTCATGTGATTGTAATCCCTCTGTACAGTATTTTCACAATAAAAAACTTATTAAAAATTATATACACAGCTAAATCCATCATGGGGACAGAGTGACTTATCATTTGAGTAAGGCAGTTTTCCAAGTCACCTCATTCTCATGTCCAAATCTTCTCTTTGCTCTCTGGCCACCACCAGTTTCTGATTATGTCTTTGTAACTATGCTTACTTCTTAGGTAATAGAAACATTATGTGGGCTGTGTCTAAGGAAAATTGACATGGGTTCAAAGCTGCTTGGATTTTAATCGCCTTGTGGTCAAATGAGTATTTTGGAGAATACACTTTGTTCCCAATGACCTCCCAACTCTTATTACTGACTTCTTTGTTGTAGTAACCCTTTAGTTCATTATTCATCTTATAAATAATGCCTGTGCAGAAATAAGGGGAAGAAAATCTTAAGCCCCACCATTTCCTCAAACTCAGAATGTTAATATCTGGAGGCAGAAAAAAACTTTGACACTAAACAAATACAGATTCAATTCTCAGCTCCTCTTCTTTCTAGATAAATTACCCTGAACAAATGAAACTTAATTACTGAGGCTTAGTTTCCTCTTAAGTAAAACAAAATGATAGGGCTGTACCAGAGACTGTTCATTTCTCAAATTCAGTCAGTCTTTACCATAATAGTGAAATTTTTAGTTGACTATGAAGTCATCCATAATGGAGCAAGCTTTCCTTGACCATGTGCATAAATTCTATTGAGACATCTAGGTATAAGTAAAGATGTACTGATAAATGTTGAAAGAGAGAGAGGGAGGGGAAGAATGTATATATATATATATAGAAGCACATATATATAATAAACATGAGTTACAGTTTTTACAAACACTATGTAAAAAGTGATAATACCACTTATAGATGAATATACAGCTCTTTAGGTTCCGTTTAGATGTGCTTTATCATTTTCATCTGGACGAGACAGATGGGAACACTCTTCTATCTCTAATAAGATATAAGTAGCTCCTTTATTGTTTTAT